ACATGAGGCAGAACGTGATATTGAAGTTCGTTGAGATAAATGCAACCAGTTATCTGCCACATGGCCACACCCACTGTGGAGCCTTCCCTTCCATGCCCCCACCACAACAACCCCACTCGCAATCGTCAAGAAAAAGTTTTAATTTCAGTTTTTGGGCGACACCAATTTTTAACAGCCAGACGCGCCCCGAATGCATCAGTTGCTTCGAGTATCTGTATCTGCATTCTGCGTACTGTATCTGCACTTTGCATTTTAATTGCAAATGGAAACAGTTATCTAAATTGGTTGAAATATTAAAACGACATCGCATCGGACACCGACTTCCCCCATCTAGCAAATGGGCGTGGCCGGGCCAGCACCAGAGACCAGATGCGACACACAAAAAAGCAAATTTCGCGGCTGAATTCCAAACTGCGAAATGCGAAACGCGTTACACATTTTTGGCGCAGGGCCAGCACCCAGCCCCAACCAGAAACCAGAAAACAGGAGCATAAAAAAGAGTCCGTCCTTCCCCATTAAGCCTCCCCCCTGCAGTGGTTACGAATGGTGCGCCTGATGCTACGAATTCAAGTCCCAACAGCACTTTTGAATGGCCTTTGAATGTTGTAGGTTTCGTTATCACGTGGAAAAGAAAAGAGTTTTTTTCCGGCTGGTAAATGAGATCGTTTAAAGGTGCCCCAAGAAGTAGTTGCAAAGCGCAGATGTTGAATGAAAAACCGAACGAGGGAACTCATAACTGAAAATCATATTTAAACAAGGACCAATTTTAATAAATGCAACCAAGGATACTTTATTGTAAGAGAGTGACACTACACTCTCTTGTTTAGTCACCAATTCAAAAACATTTTAATGTACAATTTAATGGCTACTTTACAGGATCTTTAAAATTCTTTTCAATTAGGCTAATTCAAGAAGAGCAAGCTCTTAATTTAACAATCTTTAAGGCATTTCCACAGCAATGAACCAATGAATCATTGCCACTAATTCCCCGGTAAACCCCGAGACATAAACCAAGGCAAAACTCTTTCAATTCATTGCCAACTTTGGAGTCTGTCTACGACACTGGCCACCACGCCCTACTATGCCAAAGTTTTCGAGGGAGCAAGTTTAGAAGGGATTAGTGGCAGTAGAAAAGGAGGAGCCGGATGGATGCGTGGCAGCCAAAAAGGATGAAGCTGTATGTAGGATACACACATATACACATACATATCTGCTTTGGCCAATGCAAATCGGTATTTCTGAGCTTCTGGCTGTTTGGGCAATTAGTTAACTTTATTATTTGAGCAGCAAAACCCCAGACCGCATGTGCCACACACAAGCACAAGCGGGACAGAGAGTGTGGGGCAAGGGCAAAACAAAGCAGTTGGCATTTGTCTCCTGCGCATGAGGGGATTAATGACAGCGCAACAAACAAGCGACCAAACGACAGTCCGTCCCAACCCCTAAGTTCCTCCTGGCTCCCTCATGCATATGCATGCCATTCAGATTGCATGTCATTCACATGCTTCCCTTACCTTCCCTGCTTCTCCCTACCATTAACCGCTCCACCCCATAATGTCCCATACAATGTATGTATGGCCCACCCACTCGTAAATATTTGGCTTTAAGTCAACGCTTGGCTAATTCGTTTTTATGGAATATTTAAATTATTATTTATTGCCGCATTTTTTCCAATTTCCATTTGCCATTTACCATTTTTCCCATTCAGTTCTTCCCCCCCTCTCAGTCTAGCTCTCTCGCTCCATGGCTCTATCTTTTTCACAACGGATATGAGGGAAAATGGTTATGCATTCGTCTATAAATTTCTGGGCCCTCATAAATCAAGCCATCGCGAGCGAAACTTCAATTAATGCCCCACTATTGCCATCGATAATTCATTCACTAATTTATCTTTTACAAACAGAAACACAGAATGGCGAGCGGCGAGCGGCGAGAAGAGCAAATGCCATGCCGCATTAATTGCAATGCAATTACTTATGGCCACGCAACATGGTCATAATTATCTGATTGTAGGCGTGGCAGTCATTCATTTGCATCTGCTGCCACCCACTCGCCCACACAGTGGGAGGCTGCGGCAGGGTAAGACATCCATAATTGGTACATTATTCATATGGTAGAGACAGGAAAGGAAGGTTGTCAAGCAGTGCGCTGTGCAAGCAGTACTTTCAATCGGAAGATTGTATGTACATGGATTATTAGGGATAAAGAAAGTATTTTCATTCATCAATGCTTAAGTGATCATTTACCTATATTTTTATAGTTCATTTCAAACAAACTTATGCAATGAAAAGTTATAAAGGATAAGTCAAAAGGCAAGCTCTTGGGAAAAAGCTTATTTAGATCCTTTGGATATCATACAAATCTATGAAGTTGATATGTCGAAATAATCATGCTAAAGTTGACAAATTAGTCTGATAAGTAACAGTCTTATGATATGATTCGATCTCTATCCTTATAATTCCGATTACTTGTTTGTATCAATAAATATAATTAAGATTCTATGCAGACTTTTCGCCGAGAAAAAGATCCAACTACAGACAATAAGTTATCTTTGGACTAATGACGATCATCAATCACGATTACCTTTACAGGGATGAAAATGGTTTCAACTGTGCCAAAAATCTGGCTCATTTGGTAAGCCAATGAATGTTTTGTGTTTTCGCATACTTCTAATTAGGCAACTTATCAAAAATACAGTAAACAATTATCCTGGCCAGAAGCCAAAAGTAAGAGTAGAAAAGTAATGGTCCAAATGGAAATAAATCAACGTAGGTTATTGGCAGAATATACTCCCAGGCATTCTGATGAAATTACAGTAATGTTTTAAAATGATTTAAAAAATTACAGCTACAATTACAGCTAATGGCACGCTATTTAATGGAAATAACTAAACGGCTCTCAAAGTACGCTCCTCTGAAGTCTCATTTAACACAACAAATTTTCTCATCAGCGGCATACAATTTAGGGGGGAAATTACAGCAAATCTTTAGAGTGAATACTCACCCAATCAAATTTCACATTTCGTTGGACATGACGGCGATTTTATTGCCATGACAAGTTCTCGAATGCAGCTGCAGCAGCAGTAGGAGCAGCCCAAGCAGCATCATCAGCACTATGATCAGCAGCATCTTCCAACACACCAGGCACTGGGAGCAAGCAGCGTCCCATCATCATCGTAAAACCAACACCAAAGCCTTTGTTTACAACTTAGAAGGTCGTAAAATGGTCGGACCATCATCACAAAACGGCAAGGAAAACGGGAGGAGCACAGTCACAGAGCATCCTTGCCGCCAGATCCCAGACGAATGAACGTCGTCGTCCGCGTGGTGGAGGCGTCCATCAGGGCGGCCAAAAGTCTTCTGTCTGTTCAATGGCATTCCAGGTTCCAGAGCAGAGCGCGGCACAGCATCCAACAAAAGTGCAAGTCCGAAAGGTAAACCAAAGGTTGGCAGTGCGCAGTCGCCAAAACTCAGCTTCCAACACCTCAACCCCATTCCCCCCCATGGACAAATGCATTCGTGTGGACTCCCACACATGGCTCTCATGCTGGAAGGAGCCTTTAGCCAGGACATACTGTTGCCATTTTCCTGTGGGCCTGGGGTGGCCTCCTGTGCAACACGAATTCCACCCCTAAGCCGCGCGGAGAGTCATAGCCTGCGTTCCAATCGACTTTTGTCAGAGCGTCTGCCTCTCTGTCTCTCTCCAGGGGTTGGCTCTTAACCAAGGGAAAAAATCAATAAAACTCACGTCGACGTCCATGATGGTCGGTCGCTCTGCCTCTGCCTCTCTCTCTCTATCACTCTCTCTCTCCGTTATGCCAGAGGCAGACAATGAATTGATATTCCTAAGGAAGGAGACGACGACGAGGATGCACGTGTTCTAGCATACCCTGTCGCATATCCATGTAGTGGCTTGAATGCGTGCGAGCGGGCAGCAACAATACCAATTACAATAAAGACAGACATTTAGTCAGGATTTCATTTAGTAGAGGAGTGGGTCGCGACGGGATGTGCGCTAGGGCGACAGGACATGTGCGAAAAAGTCCAGCAGCATGAAAAATATGTGGCCAAATGTAGTATTCCACAGCCAAGCCAGCCAACGGGTTTCTAATGGAAACAATTAAGTCATTAGCAAGTGTTGATTTTAGTGAGCGATGTAGGGGGGGTTCTGGATACGGCACTGGAGCTCTGCTCTGACTTGGGGTCTAGTTAAACTAATGTCCTAGGGCGGTAATGGACCAGCCACCCTTTCGGGAGTGATGGCTCATATGGCAGCACACACACACATAAAGTAGTTGTTGCTCCTGTCAGTGGCAGACCCTTACAAATGCCTCCACATTTCTCTCAATTACAATGAACAACTTACTTTCGGGTTCACTTTTCATCTCCCGGTGCGTGTCAAGAGGTGAACTTGCTGCCATTTTTTAACCATGATTGAGGAGTTAAATGTTGTGGCACTTTGAGCGGGCTCTGTTAACTTTTTGGTAAATGACTTTTTACCCACCAGCATAAACTGTTGGAAAAAGTGTTTGGGGTTTTGGTTTTCGGGCGCCGGCCACTTGTGTTACCATTCAGGTGGGACTTTCTCTGTAGTAGTTTGGGTCTTTATTTTCAAATCTTTTTGATTTAAGGTGGATAAACTTTGCTGGTTAAAGCGGGAATATATTTCGTCGGACTATGAACTGATTCTCCGAACTCTGAAAGATCTGTTTCATATATTTCTTCCACTATTTCTAAGACCCTGCGAATAGAATCAATCTTCCATATTCGCTCAGCCCTTTTCGGTATTTTAAAATCCATCCTCTGCCGATCTGTTTCCTCATCCTATAGTTCACACAATTCGGACTCCATCAATCCACAATCTTCAATTAAAATATCATTTTTATGAGCATTTTGCACAACCCTTCCCACATTTACTCCCTGCTAAAGATTCCCCAGCATGCTATGCGGTCTGCCACCATATAGGAAAACGCCGATTAAACTTTATCAAAGAACATTATGTACTTATACTATATGTATGTTTATGGCATTGTATTTGTTGTACATGCAAAAATTCTTAAGGCACAAACAGTCGAAAGATTTCATGTGTATCCAAAAAAATATATATGAATCTGAATGAGAGCTAATTGAATGAATCATTAATAATATAAACAGAGACCGCATCCGGAGCGATCCGCACAGACACAGAATTGCCGAAAAAAGTTCATTAAAGTCAAAGTTCAAGTCTTATATGCGTGGGAATGGCAGCGTCAGGCGGCGTTGGGCCCCTACGACAGGGAGGGCACTGGGATGACGGTCTGGAAGAGGTGGAGCCGGGCGTCGGCGTGACCCAGCTTGTTGGTGGCATTACAGTAGTAGTCCCCAAAGTCCTCCTCGGACACGCTCTCAATGCGCAGGACCGATGTCGTCGTCTCAAAGGATGAGGCCGTGTTGGCCACCTCGTGCTGGCGGCTCGACTGTAGTTGGACGCCATTCCGATGCCAGACGACCGTCGGTGCGGGATAACCCTGAACGGAGCACTCCAGTTCCGCGGTGTGCGAGAGCATCTGAGCGATCTTGGGACGCTGCACGGCTATCTGTGGCCGGAACTCGACCTCCACACGAATCAGGCGGCGATCGGGCTGACCCTCTCCATTCTGTGCGATGCAGTAGTACCCACCGCGATCCATGCGGTGCACGGACTTGATGCGGAGAGTGGGCTCGGCCAGAAGATGCCCTCCCGCTGGCATTATGGCATTGTTCTCGCGGGCCCAGGAGATGGTGGGCCTTGGGAAACCATTGGCATGACACGTCAGCTCCAGATGCTGTCCCTCGGTGACCAGCGTGGTCTTGGGTGTACTCTCCGAAATCACGGGGGGAGTTTTGATCTGCAGATTCAGCTTCTTGGTGATCTTCTCCGAGGTGGAGACCAGCACCTGGCACTCGTACGCACCCATGTCGTTCACCTCGATCTGCTTTATCCGGAATGTATAGATGGCATTGCCAGCCTTGGGATCCTCGGTAACGGACACATTGTACCGCTGATCGGGAAGACTGAGCATATTCCGCATGGAGAGCATGGAGTTGGTGTCCGACTTGGCCCAGCTCACAGAGAGTTGGCCCACCTGCTCCACCGTGCAGTTGAACTCGACGCTGTCCCCGACGCTGGCGACCACATCCTTGGTGATGTGACTGATGACGGGGGCGGCACTGGCTGCAGCAGCAAGGCCCACACAGAGGCACAGGCAGAGCCGTAGATTGTTCATGGCTGATTACGGGTAACTGTACACACACACACACACACTCTTTCCGTTTATCTTTGTTTTTGGTCACACGCTTTTACTTTCTTCCTCAATCGCGAGCTCAGTGTTCAATGCGCAACGTTCGGGATTTGAATGAAACGATGGTGCGGATGCCCTGCTTGAGCCCGGCTCAAGTTCGGTTTTCTGCCTGCGCCTCGTCTTCGTTTATGCTGCTGCGCCGACGCTGACAGCGGGAAAGAGCACCGAAAACTGTGCACTGAGAGTCAACAAGACGGCGGAGAGCGCGATCGTTATTAGGTGATTATCTCTGCACAATGTGCTTGCTGCTTCTTTTCTCTCAGTGCATTTGCCGAAGACAAAGTCAATGACGTTTCGGGGATCTTATCGCCCTTCGTCTTGTTTGTTTTTGTACTTAACATATTTATTTCTCTTTCTATCTGTTTGATGTTGTTCTGCTGCTGCTCACTCACTTATCAAATGTATATTTAGCAGCAGGTAGGGAGGTCCGAGATAAGTGCCTGCACATGGGTGCATTGTGGTCAGTGAGCAAAGAAAGAGAGATTAATGGAGCGAAAGAGAAAGTCTCCTCTAGTGGAGGGTTCCTTGCGCACCTTCCTTTTAATATACCTTGCACTTATCAATGCACTCTCGCTTGCTTTTTCTTTAATTGATTTGTTTTGCTCGATGTTGTTGGACCTTTCCCCCGATGTCTTCTCCCTCATCCCACACTTCTGTCGATAAGAGTGGAGCGGATTGCAGTGTCCGCGCAAGCGAAAGAGCCGCCGCGGGCGAACTGAAATTCAAATTTGTGCCGCCATTCGGCCATAAACCGTTTAGTTTAGGGGTTCTTGGAAATGTGGGAATGTGCGTACACATACAAACACACACGCACGTACACGTGCATACGCGTACTCAGGGACAAGGAATGATTTATGGCATGGCGCGCCGCCAGGATAACGACAACAATAGCGAACTTTTCTGGAATAACCTTTCGCCTTTTTGGTTGGAAATGCCGCGCGGTCACGATCCTAACGCTCCCAGACAGCTAGAGAGAGAGAGAGAAGAGAATGGTCAGGCTCTCTCTTTCGCATGCACGCTGCAGCCAGGGGCGCAAGCGCGAAAACTGGAACTGAAAAGGGGTGGCAGAAAGCTGGACAGGCAGAGGCTGCTGCCCGGCCTGGCCTGCCACTGGGTGTGGGATATTTCCGCCAGTGGTTCAGCCATGCTGGGACTTTCTAGGGGAAATTTAAAGCGGGAATTCCTGAAATTTAAGAATTTAAACGGTTTTTGCTTTGAAATTTAGGATTAGTAAAGAGTAAAGTGCAAAACATCGAAGAAAGTAAAATTTAAGAATGAAACTAATATCAAACGGTTTTAATATTACATTTTCAGCACCAAAATCTCTTTGTTTTTACAATAATTTCAGATTAAAAAAACTGATTCTAAATAACATATGGCAGAACTAGAATTTCCGTATCGGAAAAGCCCTCTAGGATTCCCCTTAATGTCCATATTTACCAACAGAAGATATTTCTTTCCTTAACCCAAGTCCCTAATCAACTTGAACCCACAGCTCTCGTGGCAAATGATTGATGGTGTTCCAGCGTCTGTTATTTCGACCCTTAAGAGACCGACCAAAAACTAGGCATTTCCATAGTTTTTAGGGGAAAATTAAATCAAAATCTTAAATCGGTTTTTCTGAGGCTGCACCCCAGGGGCAAGGGGTGCAGATGCAGTCGGAAAATGCATCCTGCACACTGCCTCTAAGGCTCTTTTTCTCAGTCTCTAGTTCTCTCTTATGTGCATCCCTGAGTGCACATTCGAATCAGATAATTGTAAATTGTGTAAAATAATAAATTTCAAGTTAACTATCTGTTGGGAGCGACCTCATAGGGCGCTTCTATTATATGTCCTTGCCACATATCCCATCTCCTTCGCCCAGTTGCATACCCACCAGCAGCATCATCATCATCATCATCGTCATCATCATCACTGTCGATGTCCAGGGTCCCAGGGTTCTGGGCTGCTTTATGCACTCAAATGCAACGCTCGACTTGGCTCGGACCGAAAACTGGACACACGCCGAAAGAGACAGGGCTATAAAGAGCAACACAGAGAGAGAGAGAGTGAGGGAGAGACATGTATAAAAAGAGACAGAACGAACCGCACCGCACCGCCGTGGAAGCCAGGCTGAAGGCTGACTCTCAGCTCTCTGTTCACATTCAAGCGGATCCAAAACAGAAAATGTCAAATTTTGTAATTTATTACCCGAATCCTGTTTCTGTCAGTGACTCTTTCGGGTGTTTTGGGCGATGCGGCAACCAAGGGGACAGGAGCAGAAGAGCGAGGCAACCAGAGGGATTCTATGTGTGGCACAGAGGGGAGTACACGGATCCGGGCTCTGGTATCCCTAGAAGAGTCCTTTTGTCACACACAAACTGCGTGTGAATTTTCGTTGCCCACTGTGTGTGTATGCGTATGCGAGTGTATCCATGTGTGTGTGTATCCTTTGGTTTTTGGATGGCGCGTAGTTTTGTTTGCCCTTTGGCTGGATGCCCGCCCCGATACCCCGCACTCCCGTACTCTTTCTGTGTGTGTTGCCCTGCCTCTGTCTGTGAATTGACTTTTGTTGCCAGTTGGCAGCAGTGGCAGAAGTTGCAACGGCAACAACAAGCCACACACACATCCACCAAAGCAAACACGACAATTATTCGGTAAATGTCATTAAAATATTTCACTTAGCAATTGACAAAAATGCTGCAAAGTAAAAGGAGGTAGTGGGTAGAAAAAACAGGAGAAATGGGGAGGAAATTCCTGCAAACAGCAAAGAAGAATGAAATTAGTAATAAATTACCGCTTTAATATTTTGGGTTTTAATTTATAGTCATTAACATTGATAATTTAGCAGTAAATTACAGTCTTTAGGCTGTACTTTACCATAACATTTCAAATAGCCCGCTAACTACATTATATAAGTCAGCTTCTGTCAGTGAGCAAATCAATTTTTGGTGTTACTTTTCTTTCCGGCAGAGGGCAAAAGCCAGAAAGCGCTCTCTGCCAGCAAAAACGTGAACTTCCATTTAATTAGTGCTGCCACACTGATCCAACGCGCCACTGTGAATTTCTAGGTTGGCTCTCAAATCAAAAGAAATATTGAAAGAGTAAAACATAATTCATAAAAAATTGATTCCTAGCCTACACGTTTCTCATATTTCCAGTGAAAACATGCAGCAATATTAATAGCCAAGCATTGCTTCGCTGTGAAGAGTTAAAAGCGTCCTCTATCTGTCATCTACGGTACGACTGGCTTTAAAACAGCGCTGCCAGACAGTCAGCTGAAGACAAACTGTGCGCCTAATACAAACGTAAACAGATAATAATAAATAGCAACTTAAAGCTTGAAAGTTATAGAATGTTTATTTGTTAGTCAAATATATACAAAACTTCCCGAAATTCCAATCGATATACAGCGATCGAATGTTATTTTGGCAGCCCTAGTCGAGATCGTTCATCCCTATATAACGGCACCTTGCATATGTAAATATGTATGTATGCGTGTGTGCGCATGTAAATGGATCACAAAATGCTGGAAAGATAAGTTTGCGAGAGCGTCTCGAACGTAACCGGTTACCCCAACGAATTAGGAATTATTTATACCATTTTCCCGTTCCCAATATCATTTGGAAACGACCTTAAAACGAGTGCAAAAGTGCTGCAAGCGTGGTGCAGGAGGAGGAGGAGGAGTTGTGGGGAAAATGGCGCAACCGCCACCAGATCAAAACTTTTATCATCACCCGCTGCCGCACACACACACACACCCGTCGCACCACCCCCACCCGCATCCTCACCATCCACATCAACATCCGCAGCTTCAATTGCCGCCACAATTTCGGAATCCCTTCGATTTGGTAAGAATAATTGCAGGAAAATATTGAACAGATGATTTTATTTGCTAATGCTGGTTTCTGTAAAGCTTTTCGATGAGCGAACGGGTGCCATTAACTACAATTACATACGTCCCTATCTGCCCAACCAAATGCCCAAGCCAGGTGAGTGCCAAAAACACAGAGTGTGTGACATTTGTAAAGCTCATTGATTTCCCCCTCACAGAGGAGTTGCCTGATTCCCTGGTGATGCGACGCCCACGACGCACTCGCACTACGTTCACCAGCAGCCAGATAGCCGAGTTGGAGCAGCATTTCCTGCAGGGACGCTACCTCACGGCACCACGACTGGCCGATCTGTCGGCCAAGCTAGCTTTGGGCACGGCTCAGGTGAAGATCTGGTTCAAGAATCGTCGTCGTCGCCACAAAATCCAATCGGATCAGCACAAGGATCAGTCGTACGATGGCATGCCGCTGTCGCCGGGCCTCAAGCCCAACGAGGGAGATCCGCCGAGTCTGCAGAATCTCACATTGGGTGGAGGTGCCACACCGAATGCCCTGACGCCCTCGCCCACACCTTCGGCAACGACCGCGCACCTGGTGGAGCACTATGGTGAGACATTCAATGCCTACTACAACTACAATCATGGCCATGGCCAGGCGCAGGGCCAGCGCCATGTGGGCCACGTCCACGGGCAGTACTCGGCGCCACCAGGAGCCCAGAATGGAGCACAGTTCTTTCAGGCACAACAGCAGCAGCTCCTTCAGCAACAGCAGCCACCACACCATCACCAGAATCAGCAGCAGCACCTGCACCATCAACTGCCGCACACAAACCACGTGCCACATCAAATGCAGGCCCAGCAACATCAGCAACAACAGGAGCAGCAGCAGCAGCAGCATCAGCAGCAACTGTATCATCATTTTGATTTCCAGCAAAAAACGGCCAGCGCCTGTCGAATGGTCAAGGACGAACCGGAGGCCGACTACAACTTTAACAACTCGTATTATATGCGCTCGGCTCTGTCTGGGGTTGGTGTCGCCGCCGCTGCTGCTGCTGCTGTTGCTGCAGCCACACCCGGAACAGCATCGTCGGTCCTTGCGGCGGAGGTGGCGGCGGCAGCAGCGGCGGGTCAGGTGACGTCTGCACTGTCGCCCGGCTCCGAGGTCTATGAGCCATTAACACCCAAAAATGACGAGAGTCCCAGTCTATGTGGCATTGGCGGCCCCTGCGCCACGGCTGTCGGCGACACGGACATTGCCGACGACATGGACGATGGAACGACCCACAAGAAGACGACGACGACGCTACAGGTGAGCGGCTGATCTCTCTGGCATTCCTCCACCGCTGGATGATCCTTTTCTTTCTTTCCATTCGGCCATATAGAACCTGGAGCCGCTGAAGAGCCATACGGTTGTTGGTCTAGACAAAAGCTGTGACGATGGCAGCAGCGATGATATGAGCACAGGCATGCGGGTGCTGTCGGGTCGCGGAGCCTTTGCCAAATTTGGCAAGCCATCGGCCGCCCAGGCCCAGCCACAACCACCGCCCGCGCCATTGGGGATGATGCATGACACGAACCAATATCAATGTACGATGGATACGATAATGCAAGCGTATAATCCGCATCGTAATGCCGGAGGCAACACACAATTTGCCTACTGCTTCAACTAGTAGCAGCCAACTAGTATAACTTAGATCTAAGCGATAAACAATATCATTTGTTTCCTGATTGTACAAATACCAATTGATTGTAGATATCTGCGCGTAGTTATGTGTAAGCCTCAATTGTAAATTTGTTCTTAGTCTTTTTATGTACTAGCCTAGTCAGCAGGCGGCAGCTTTTAATCATACTTCAAGTGATATTCGCTCTAACCTCTCTGCTTTATCGACAACTTTCTCTGCCATGCGTTCGTTGCTTCGTTTGTTTTTGGTTGGTCATTCCCCCAAAGCCCAGGAATTGCCTGCTAAAATCAATCGAGGTGTTTTATGGGCTTGAACGCATGCCGGAGAAAGTTATTTCCCTCAATAGCAAAGGAATCCCCTGGCTCTGATACAAATTTGTCATAGCTAAAACCTGTACTAATCTAAATGCAAAATGTTTCTCTTGGCGGTAATCATATAATCATTGTTTTTTATATAATTACCATCTAAAGATTGAACATTTAAACAACTCAGAATATGCTATGACAAAAGCGTTGGCTTGTTGGACATTTGGACATTCTTTCTGCAAGAAATGTCAGCAAATTGTCTGCCAAAACAAGCCAAACATTTGTTCGACCTTGGATTCCTTTACTGTATTATTTATATACCCATTAATATATTTTAAGATCATCTTTTAATATCACTCAAGTTGCATTGAAATCTGTTTAGCTTCGATTTTAAGTGTAAGTTCCTCGGTGCACCATTGTCATATGTTCACTCTTTTATAAGCTTTTTTGTGTGTAAATCATTGGGAATATATAAACAACATATGAGCTATGCTTCCCAAAAAATGTTGCCACTAGGCATGTACGAGTATGCTTAAAAATCTTTCTCAACGAAAACTCGTATGGTTTTTCCGAAAATCTTATGAATTTAAAAATGTACTTTTATGGTCCGCCCGTTCGTTATTCCTCCCCTCGCACACATGCATGTCGTAAAATGTGATTCGCGATGTTTCTACGAAACCCGCGAGTCGTCGTAAAATATTTGGCACCACCAGCAGCTGCCTGTGTTTATATAGTTACCTGATCCTGCGCACCTATCCGACACGACCCCGACCTCGCCCGGCTGTGTGCACCAGTTAGGTAGGCAGTGTACAGGCCCCGCTTGTTAGCAGGCCAACTTGTACTTGTTGCCTCAATTTTCTTTGATATAAATTATGGAAAATCCAGAAAACCAGAACGCTCTCCTTACATGAACGAATCTCGATTGGAATTTCCAGTGTTTCCCAATTTTTATTGAAGCCCAACAAATGGGCGCGTCATTCGCAACGATGGATTATTCTGTTGTGTGTTTCGGGGGGAAATTCCCAAAGGAAGAATTAATGTTTTTAGAGCATAATCTAATAGAAATTGATGCTGATTAATTTAATAAATTTGCAATTTTATTAAGTGATTAATGTGGAAACTTGAACAGCTAAACGAAACAATTCCCTTTAGTTTTTGATATCTTAAAAAGGATTGTTTTGTATGATATTATCATTAAGTTAAAATGCATTTTTGTATATGTCTGAAAAATCTACATTATGAACTCTATTTACATACATTTTTAGCATATTTTCCATTTTCCATTAACCATTATTTGAATATTTAAGTAAATTAAATTGAAACTGTATTAAAGACTATTAAATCTCTTGGTCTGTCTTACCGTATTCATCAACTTCCTTTTCTTTAGATTTATTATAGTACATTGTTCATTTAAGATAAATTGAAATTCCCACAGAAGCTCTCCCTTCTCCTTTCCTTGCAAAATTGTACCACTAAACTTCAAGATCTCTCTCCCCACCTTAGCGACTCTCTCTCCCCATAACTTCATTCCAATTTTCCTCGATTAATGTTATTATTTCAACTTAAGATTTCCCCCTCAACTGTACCACAGATGCCTCACAATTCCCCTGTTATGACTTCTCCTTTGTTTCGTGCATATTTTTAGCGAGTTCCTAGAAGGAGCAAATCCGATAGCGCCAGTAATAAAATATTTGGCAAGTCCTAGGATCGAAGGGACCGCGACAGATTCGCATATTCACAGTAGACAGGGATATAGTCTGAGGCTTCTGCTGCTGAGAGAGTCATAAACTCCCCGAGGAGTATCCTTTTTCGCAGCGTTGCTTTCATTGCATTATGAGGATAATTGTAGGACGATGCTTGCGACCAAAAGCCGCGACATGACACAGGACAGAGGCGCACATCGGTTTCACTTTCAGCGGCGACTCGACTGTTCCTCAACAGGTGCTACATGTTGGACAACGTAGATCAGAGTTCTCTTTGGTTTTGAGATCATCATCAGGCCTTGGGCAAGACGACGACGATGACGACAGGACTGTCTACCTGGCTAGACTCTGGCCGCGACCCCGTGCTAGTGTGTCTCACGTAACTGCCAAATCCTTGGTTGGATTTCGATCAAAACAAGCCCCTAGATTGCCCATTCCGAGGACTTCTTTCCGACTAGAACTCAGACTTGCAGGACTTGGCTAGTCTGGCTGGTGCCAACGGCGGTGCGACGGCGTCGAGTGCGACGAGAGGAAGGCCAAACAGGGGATTTATGACTCGCAGGTTTAGGCAAATTTTTTTCGCAACGCACCCTGACCTGAATAGATGACCGATCCTCTACCTAGGCGTTGAGTTCTATATAAAGATAGAATGTTTGCATAGGGCAGCATATCATTCTACTCTGGACAGTCCCGTGTGCAACAGCAGCAGCCAAAAACCTCGAAGATCATGTCATCCGTCATGCATTACTATCCAGTGCATCATCCAACAGCCCCGCCACTGGTTAAATACAGCGATGTAAGTGCCAGAAAACCCTTTCCAAATAAAGGATTTAACTAATTTTGAGTTTTCTTTTCCCCCTTAGTTGCTTTATGGACATCATCATTCGGCGAATCTGCAGCCAACTTCCCTGCAAAACTACACGCAGCACAGTATCAGCAGCATACCAGAGCATCCCTCGTTGCACCAGCATCATAATCATCAACAGCATCAGCAGCAGCAGCAGCTCTCCTCCGATGAGAATCTGGCCTCGCAGCCCAGCCAGGATATGCAGCGAGTGAAGCTGAAGCGTTCCAGGACAGCCTTTACCAGCGTCCAGCTGGTGGAGCTGGAGAACGAGTTCAAGAGCAATATGTACCTCTACCGGACACGACGCATCGAGATTGCCCAGCGATTGTCCCTGTGCGAGCGACAGGTGAAGATTTGGTTCCAGAACCGACGCATGAAGTTCAAGAAGGACATCCAGGGCCACCGGGAGGCCAAGGCGAGTGCAAAACTCGCTCAGCCCCAGGCGGAGCAGAGTGCCCATCGGGGCATTGTGCAGCGACTGATGTCCTACTCGCAGGATCCCAGGGAGGCGGCTGCCAGTGCAGCGGAAAAGCGTCCTGCTGTGGCAGCAGCTACTGCCCCGCCTGTGGTTGCTGCTGCCCCAGTGGTGGCTGCTGCCACTTCCACTGCCTCGTTATATGCCCAGCCGAAGATCAAGCCACAAGCCATCCCAAGCAACAACAACAACAACATGTGCTCCTCGGATCTCAGCGAGATCCTGGAACATCTCGCGCAGAGCACAGCGGTGCCAGCTGCAACGGCGACACCGCCGGCTCCATCCATTGGCCCAACTTGTGGATCTTCTGGCGTTTCGTCCTCTGGCCACTATTCATACAATGTGGACCTCGTCTTGCAGAGCATCAAACAGGATCTGGAGGCAGCTGCCCAGGCCTGGTCCAAGTCCAAGGCAGGGCCTGTCCTCGGCAATGCCCAATCCTGGCATCCCAGTGGCGTCGGCACCAGCACTGTCCCGCCGGTGTCCCATGCGACACCCTCGATGAATCTGTCTTGGGGCGAGCCAGCGGCCAAGTCCAGAAAGCTCTCTATCTCCCACATAAATCCCTGTGTGGCCGGCGGCTACAACTATCAGAACTAAGAGCTGTAGCTAAAAGTGTGTATCTGGTGTCTGTCTGGTGTGTGTATCTTTAAGTACTCCTAAGTAGCTTTAGGATCTCTCCCTAAACCCTAAACGTCTTTGGCACTTGGACGCAAAATGCATTTGTTCCCCCCAAAACTCAGTGACAAGCACAACTTTGATTATATTTTATATCACTATTATTATTGCTAATTACTAAGTTTTTTTTTAGCCGTTAAGAATATTTTTTAATTACAAATTACTATTATTATATATACTATAAATAAAATATAAAAGGAAGGTTGGCTATACAAAAATCAATTATTTCTCGTTGCTAAATGTTTAGATTCAAGGTGGTAGGGAAAATTGAAATATCTTCTAGTGCTTTGAACTGAAATATTTGATCTCTAAGTCTATATATTTAAATTTTCATTTATTAAAGAAGAACTGTATTAATTAGTCAAAAATAATGAACAAATTACTGGGCAGCTACTTTAATGTGGGAATGAATTTGAATCGATTCTCGAATTGGGTTTCGTCGCAAAATTTTTTAAATATTAATTTAGATCTACAAAGTCTTGCCTTAATTGCTCTTCAATCTTCAAACTTTCAGTTACATTTTTTTCTCCCACCCCATAAAATCCCATCAATCCTTTAAAAAAACCCGCATAACCCCTCGATGTTTTGCAACAAAAAGGGGAGGAGAGAGAGAGTTAATTTGTAGCATTTAGTAGCAGAATTTTGTGTGCCAGTGTTTGGTTGTCTTTGGTTTCACTTTTGCAATTTAATGTCCCATTGCGGACGACTTGAGGTCAAGTTGAGGAATTTCCATTGTATTTGCCATCTATTAAGGTCGTTGAAAAGTGTCAACCACATTAACTTGGACAGGTCCTTGGCGCTGGAGCAGACCCATGTTCGGTTACCGAGAGCTTCGGTCCATGCTCACGTTGGTCATCTTCGAGTTGGTGTGTGTTAGGATTTGATTTATGGATATTTAACCGCACACATTACTTGAACTGGACTCGGACTGTGCTGGGCTTCTGGCAAGTGCCGCTGGACAGCATCTTTCGGCGCGGAAATGCGACACTCAGCTATAGCTACAGCTCCAAGGAATTTCCACCACACCGTACACACACTTTTCCAGCTGAAGTGACTCTCCTTTCTGCTTTTGGGGGTTTGAAAAGAGGAAGGACATCCCTTTTGGGCAGGGACATGCCTCGCCTCTGGTTGTGTGTGGCAAATTGCTTCCCCTGGGAGGAAATTGTCGCTGCCACTTGCCACACAGAGCAAGCCAGGGAAATAGTGGCAAACAGTAAGAGAGTGTGGTGGCCATGTGGATTAGAGAGGGGACGGAACAAGGGGTGGGCTTTGGAACCATGGAATTTTCATGCGCATTGTTGACATTTCCTGACATGTGGTCCGGTGCGGTTCTGCTTGGACTGGGAGCATGTCCTCCACATGTTTTGAGGCTGAGACTGAGTGAGATTCTCACTGCCATAATGAATATAGATGCGAGTCGTGGGCGTGGCTAATCGCCCGCACACACAGCTAATCAAACTCAAATAAAAAACCAAAGACGGGGAAAATTACGCGAAATGCCAATGTAATAAACATGTCCAACAACAGCACACAGTCACAGATTGTTTCTATTGTTCAGTTTGGAATGCCTATGCCTCCTCAATCATTCCGGCAACATTGCGGTTTTATTAGCCAGAGACAGAGTCACAGCGAGAGCCACAGTCGAGTGCCTGGAGGCCTGATGACACTGCCACTTTCCTTGGGCCGGTCATAACAATAAATTCTACGAGTATAGCCACAGCCTCTAGTTCCTCCTACTCCAAAAAAACATTTCAAATTGTTTCTTGTTAATTAAATTAAATATTCACTTGGCTTTGCCTCCCCCACCACGTTTTGTAATTAGATTGAATCTATAATTTTTATGGCTAATCGCCTTAGAGCTTTTGCCTCCTTTCTGGCTTCAGATGCGTCCGCCGCGCAATGAATTTTGAATTTGCGGCCAGGACATTCGCGGAATCCTTGGCGACAGCCAACCAAAATGTATTTTCTGTGCAAATTAAATGAGCTTTCGCTGAGGAATAGTTTTGTCTTTCATTAACTAAGGGAAACAGTGGACAGAAAGAGTACAGAATGAGAATCAAAAATCATCTTAAAATATTTATTATATTCTATATTCAATCAGTTAATTAAACAAATATTTACCTAAAGTCTGCAAGGATTTCTAAATTTTCCCTAATTTATAAAAAAAAAATGAAAATTCCATCAACCCAAAAAGGTTATTTCCAGATCTCTATCTATCTCTACCCCAAACACCCACACTCTCTTTTTATCCTCTCTCTCTCTATATATTTTTAGCCCGAATTTGAATATTTTTGGAAAGAAATTTGAATATGTTTGGCACGTTTAAACGTTATGACATTTCACAGACGTGTCAGTCCCTCAACGCCAGTCGCTATGGCCAACACCTGTCGTATAAACAAATCGTGCAAAA